AAAACATCTTGCACAAAGTACTTTTTTAAAACATGACATCTCAAATCTCAAAGTTAACACTTTGGTGACGTTTCACTGCTGATCTTTCATAACTGCATGTCGAGGCTCTGTTGCGTGATGTAAGTCAATCCCAATCCTGTGACCCTCTGTGACTGGACACAGACACAATCACAGGTACTGGATTAGTGTGACGTGTGTGTGTGTGTGTGTGTGGGGGTGTGTGTGTGTGTGTGTGTGTGTGTGTGTGTGTGTGTGTGTGTGTGTGCGTGCGCGTGCACGCGCACGTGTGTGTCTTGAAATGTTTGAGCAGCTTTGGAAGCACAGAGTCAAACACTACAGGAAGGACCAGAGCAAAAGCAACTCACTCAGGTGTTGATCAGAAAGCTCTGTCTCATGATATGTTAGCAGTGAAACATATTTGTCACTCAGGATTATGAGGAAATCACAACTGCTGAACTTGTGATTTTATGCTTAGTATGTGAAATCCTTAAAATCCACAGCTTAGCATCCCAAAAATACTGGGATTTTCCAAATTTTCCCTTTTTTCCATCATATCTGATTAGCGTAAATGTACAAAACTGCTAATGCTAATGCTAATAGGGTATAGAAACAATAACGCGACCAAATACGATCAAGCATTAATGTCATACATGCAATCTATGACAATTAAAAGACTGAATTTTAGTAGAATATTTTTCCACTTTCTAAAAAAAAGTAAGAGTGTTCTCTAAAATATTGCACAAGCACTAAAATGCAAGAGCTGATGATGATAATGTTGAGATTTGTGATGCAATTATTGTACAGGTATGTTGGCAGTCAGCCCCAGTAGGCTGTGGCAAATTTAAATAAATTTAATAAAATATGATTATCACATTTAACGAATGATTTTACTGGGGCTATTTTTTCCTAATAAATTCAATAATCTCTTGAAAACTGCCTTGTGTGTTTATCCTGGTCGCCTCTGACATTCAAATTTGTTTGATCTTCAACGTAAAATGCAAAAACAGAACAAATCTGTTCATTGCAGTGTGAATATCCCAGTTCAACAGAAATACAAGATGTTTAAAAACTGCTTAGCATCAATGAAATCTGAAGATACGAATGTGAAAATGACCATTTCTTTATTCATTTTTATTGAGGTCGTTACGATTACAGTCATACTGTTTATCGGTGAGCTCTAAGTACACCATGTTTAGTTTTATTAGTGATTACCCAGATTAATGGACACCCACTAGAACCAGTAGCAGCGTAGGCACACACCCCCTCTCACCTAATCAGACCAGAAATAAGAGGCTTTCGTCAAACAAAGCAGCAAATTGTCGAGAAAGCAGAAAAGATCGTTCCCAAAATACAAATTTCTTTTAGGTAATCAACTTACATCACAGAGTTTTTTGCAGATTTAAACAGCTGACTTGCCAGCAGGGTACAGATTTAGGTAGTTAAGTAGTAGCTTGGAGATGATCTGTCTAAAAGCAAGCTGGCTGTTCAAACCCCTGAGAATATAGCATGTACTTCATGAAGCAAAAAAAAAAAAGAAATGAACCAACAGGAAGTGGTTCTCCAGTTAACGATTAATTGATTGCTAAATTAGTTGTCGAGCTTCACTAA